AGCAAAATTGTCAAAACTTTGTGCCGAAAAAATTTATGACTGCCAGATTAGATCTGAGCAGTTGGATATACGATGACTCATGCTATTGAAACAATGACCGAGATCTTACACTAGGAAACAAGGCGTTATCTTGCATCTCATAATAAAGTTTTAATGCAATATCCTAGTCACTGGACTATATGAGAAAAAGACTATATCAGTCATGGAAAACAACGGTGTCTTCAACAAGATGCAAATTTGATGTCACATAAATACAATGCATACATTGAAAGTAAAATAATAAATAGAAAATGATATATTATCAGCAAAAGTGTAAAGACCTTGTGACCAAAAAATTTATAACTGTCGGATTAGATCTGAGTAGTTGGTTGTAAGATCACTGTCGGAAGTATGACAGGAAATCTGACTTAAGGAACTTCCGCAGTAAGTATAATTGGTGAAAATTTCGAAATGGTATAAAGATGCAATATTTGGATCATATGTTGTTGAGCACATTCAAAAACTATTCCCATTTTCGAGATATACATCGTCAAAAATGGAATAAACAAAAAAATTGAATGGTTGGCGATGCATATCTCCAAAATGGGGTGGACCAGGGACTTGAAATTTTGGGAATATCTTTTTAATGTGGTCCACATATGATCCAAATATTGCGTCTTTATACCATTTCGAAATTTTCACCAAGTATACTTACTGCGGAAGTACCTTAAGGAAGCAAGATGTCATCTCGCAGCTCATAATGATGCCTTCGTATAAAATCCTAGCCACTAGACCATATGGAAAAAAGAATATTTGAAAAAATATATATCTGCCTTTGAGGGATAGATCTCAGAGAGATCGATTGGGTGATTCTTCTCCGATCGATTTCCCTAACATCCAAGTTTTCCGATAGGTGTTACTCTGACAATTTAAAAAATCATTAGGAGTGGAAAATGATTTTCGTCAACCAATTTCATCAAATTCACATGATTTATTTAATTTTAATCAATTTTACAACAATGCGTGTTCAAACAAAAAAATAAGTTCAGTCATGGCGCCTGGCAATCACACAATTTTCTGTTGTCGCAATATGTCTTTCCGTTACAATAGACATACGCCGCGGTCTCTTCACAATCCTTGTCTTCAGAACATGCTGTTAATGTCAAATGTACAAATCTATCGGAGGATACAAATGTATAATACTTACGGTACTTGTGGTACAATTCCTCGGCGGCATGAGCCAGCATTACGCAGGTGACCAACAGCATTAATAGCTTGCGCATCAGCATCGTAGGGGGGATTTATCGATCGTCTTTATTAACGTTCGCGTAAAGAATGGCGAAATTTTCCTTTCGTATCAGCCTCAAGGTTTTTTTTATCGTTATTTTACATCGTTTCTACCCGGTTAGGGTACACTGCGATGATGATCAAGACTTTAAATGGTTAGATCGCACCATTCTACCCGGCCGGGATTTCACCTCGGAACCTTCGCATGTGAGGCAACGAACTTACCCACTGCGCCAAGCCACCGGGTTCTCAAGGAGGTTGAAATGCTTATCTGTTGTTCTTTTCTAATATCCTTGGTAGGGTAAGCTACCCAGTGGATGGACACTGCCCTATAGATGGACGAGCTACTTTTGGATAGGAAATTACGCAAAAAAATACTGAAATTTGAATTGTTGCTTTGAATTTTCACTAACTGTTGTGATTCTTAACCCCTGAGTGACGATTTTTCTTCGATCAATTTTTTTTTTTTCAATTGCTAAAAAACAAACGTCCATCTACTGGGCAGTTTACCCTACCAACATTTATAATTCTCTCTTCAAACATGAGACAAATAATGACAAGTTAGAGAAATAAGCGATGAAGACGGCAGGCGGACCGCGTTGCCATGAGTCATGTAATTGTTTAAGTATCGATGAGATTCGTACTTTGTTTATTCTTTATTTATTCACTATTATCCATCCACAATTACAATCTGTTAGGTAGATAATGTAGAACAAATTACATGATTACACTGAGAGACGAAATAATGATCTTCGATTCGTAATTTGTTCTTCTAGTATTTAGGTTTTTTTTTCGATAGTAAAAAATAAATTTTCTCTTAGATTGATTTTTTTTTATACATCAATTTTTTTCCTTAATTAGTGATTCAATCGGACAGCTCGTAAGAACATATTTGTAAGGGTTTAAGAAAATGGGGAACTTGCATGCGGTTCTGTTACCTTATTCCTATATTTATGATTTTTTTTATCGGAATTGAATGCCGAATGGCAAAAGGTGTTGTGAGCATGCCCTAGGTATTTTATAATATTTAGATTGTTTTATTGGGATTATGATCTGGAAATGAAGAAAAAATTACAAAAAGTCATGCAAGTTCTCCATCGAGTCTGATGCGACTTGTAATTTAAATCCTTTGATATTTTTTCTGCAGGCATTTTTTAAAATATTTTTAATTAATTATTTCATTGGCACGTGTTTAGAACGAAATATTAATCAGTGTGAGATAGTAATTTCACACTAATTGCCAATAGTTATGATTGGTCGGCTTATTGGCGGTAATACAGCTGTGCGACTACGACAATTATTTTTTAGAAATTCATGAAGATCCACTCGATTTTGAATTAATTCCTAATTGATTAATTAATAAAAATAGAAAAAAAATTATTTTTGGATTGTAAATTCGGAAGTGTGCGAAGAGCTTGATGACTTTGATAGTCATTGGGTTGATGGAGTATTTTACTTTCAAGCATTAGTTAATTGAAGAATCAATTAGTGCCCTGGAGTCAATTATTCACGTGAAATTCATACTACTGAATTGGTGGCCATTGTTTTGCGAATATCTCGGCAGGGAGTGGATTTAGCGGAAAAACTCAGAAGACCTTTTTGTGGGGACTTGTGTGTTCTACAAAAAAGGTCCTTATACGTTTTCCCCTAAAACCACTCCTTCTTGATGTAATTGAACACATGATTGATGTTTGAACACATCGAAAAGACAACAAAAAGTATTTTCTGAATTATCTCGGTCATGAGTGGGTTTCGGAGAAAACGTTAGAATAACTTTCATGTAGAGAATGGAATTCGCCACAAAAAATGCTTTTTTACATTTTTCGATAAAACCACTCATCGTCAAGATAATTGACGTTTAATAATGACCGTCTCACTCAAAAAAATCAACAGAACGTATTTCCCTAATTATTCCGGTAACCATTGATCCCAGGAGACAATGTCAAAAGATTTTTTTGGCAAAAAAATGCAAGGCGGATACCAAGCCTGGGCGCCACCATGTTCTCTGGACTTGCAAGATGGCGGCCACCCTGTCCTCTTCACCTGGCGTTTTCAACATTTTTGAAAAATAATTAAAAATGCTCAAACCATCTTCAACTCATTTCATCACACTCCCACCGTGGGAACAATTTCATGTAAAAATTCCCCACAAAAAAGTCCCTTGACATTTCTCTAAATCCATCCCTAACCCCACCAAGCAGATCTCCCGAAAAAAAATCCTTAATCAAGTGACTTGGACCTCCCAATCGCTCCCTTGTGCTTTGAAATATCAAAATGAAAAATTCCCCGACTGTCGGTGGACGTCGAGGGTCGTTGGTCATTAGTTTGAGCTATACCACGTAAATTATACTGAATCGAATGATTGTTAAGCGCATCTAATATCACATTGTCGGATGGATTAATCACTGATGATGATCTCTCATTGATCGAGGAATTTAATTGTGGTAACTGTGTATTTAATTCCGTTGCTGATGCATCCTCTTGGTGGCTGCAGTGATGCTGGCAGTTGTGGCTATCACGTGACTGATAGTAATCACAGGTGTGGAGCTGCTGGCCACTGTAGGGGTGGTGGGTGCAGGGTTGAGCAGTTCGGGAATTATCGGTGCGGTGGAGGGGGAGGGGTAGGGGGTTGTTTTTAACACGGGATTGGGCTATTACTGTGTCGTAGCTGGGGGGTGGACCGTAGAGCTGGTAATAGGGACAGTTTAAATCATTCAGGACTATGTTTGGGGGGTGGTAGGGGGTGGAGTGGGAGGGAGGGGTGGAGGTATAAGGGGGTGAGGCGGGGATGCCTCTGTGTGGACCTAAAAATAAATTTTTTTAGATCTAGTCTTTTTTTTCTTTTTTTTTTCATTACCTTTCCACATTCGATGAAGAAAGACAGTATTTCTCGATGAATTATAACTGATACTGGCCTGCTGCCCCTGGCATAATGAACCACGCTGAGGAATACTGTGAGTCCTAGTGTGTGATGACCTCGTGGTCGTGGGTATCACGGACGTTGCAGCTCGATATCGTCCTTGGAGCCAATACCTGTACCACCAGCCACCCCCAGAGCACACCAGGAACATAATTATGACGAGTAGCCTGAGAACATTAATCGGTGAAGGTCACTCGGACATTTATAGAATACTTCCCCTTTGAGTTTTTTCTTAAGATTATTATTTTTTCTTTATTACCAGTAGTACCACAAGTGGTATATCTGGAAACCCGGGGACACGCAGCAGCCGAAATTACAGCAGTGTTCGTTTTTTGGACATCTGGAAGAGATAGTTATGCTTTTTAATAATTTCGCGGGTCTATCAATCGTTTTCGTTTCATTTGGGAGGAGGTGAGAATAAATTGAAGAGTTTTTCATCGTTAAATTGTTTTTTTTTGGAACTTGTTTGACGAAAAAATTATCGCTGGAGAATTGTTCCCATCGTGGGAGTGTGATGAAACGAGCTGAGAGTGGTCTGAACGTTTTAATCAATTGTACTGTTAGTTTTGTACAGTTTTGTACCCAAAACTGTTAGCCACTTCACAGCTGTTTACAAAAAAAATCTGTTTCTTGAATTTGAGCCGCATTATTAAATTATGTCGACGATGAGTGGTTTTATCGAAAAATGTCAAAAAACGTTTTTTGTGGAGGATTCCATTCTCTACATGAAAGATCTTCTGATGTTTTCTCCGAAACCCACTCATAACCGGGATAATTCAAAGAAAATTTTTGGTTGTCTTCTCGAAGTGTTCAAATTTCAATCGTGTGTTCAATTGAGAATTATATCAAGAAGGAGTGGTTTTAGGAGAAATCGTATAGACATTTTTTGTAGATCACACAAGTCTCCACAAAAAAGGTCTTATGAGTTTTACCGCTAAACCCACTCCCCGCCGAGATATTCGCGAAACAATGGCCTCCACTTCAGTAGTATTAATTTCACGTAAATAATTGTCTCCAGGGCACTAACTGATTCTTCAATTAACTAATGCTTGAAATTAAACTAATCCATCAACTCAATAACTATCAAAGTCATTAAGCTCTTCACACACTTTCGATCCAAAAATCAATTTTTCTCCATTTTCTATTACTTAATTAATTAATTAATTAATCAAATAATTAATTCAACATCGAGTGGATCTTCATGGATTACTACAAGATAATTGTCGCGGTCGCACAGCTGTATTATCGCCAATAAGCCGACCACTCATAACTACCGACAATTAGTCTGAAATTACTATCTCATACTGATTAACTCGTTCTAAACGCGTGCCAATAAAATAATTAATTAAAAATATTAGAGAATGTCTGAACGAAAAATATCAAAGCATTTGACGTGCAAGTCACGTCAGACTCGATGGAGGACTCCCCTGACATTTAGATTTTCTTCGTTTCGAGATTATGATCCCAATAAAACACTCTTCGATCCCGCATAATTTTGACAAAAAAAAATACTTACACATAATATTTTGGATTACCCCCTATCTCAAAGGCACAGTATTTGGCTTCAGCCTGCAAAAATAGGGTTTTTAGTTCAAGGTCGAGTGCACCCCCTCCCCGCAATCCTTGAAATCCTCCGAGAAACGAAAGACGAAAGAAACTTCACTCCCAAAAAAAAATGTTAAAAAAATCGATTTATTAATAGACAAAAATTCATTGACAATTAATAATCGTAATATCGTGGACATTCCACTCACATAAATTAAACACTCGGACAATCCAGCGACAATGGCCACTCTTTTAATACCCCTTGATAGCATGATACCTCAGTATTTGAAACCACATTTGCAATCACAAATTGTTGAATTTTAACGCATTGTTATTAATACTACAGCCATCCACGGCCATCTTGATCCTTCCACCCGCCACTGAGTACTGAGAGCTTTTTATATACATAGGACACATGACATTGCGCCCCTCTGTCTATTGATTTTTACAGTCTGACCCTCCTTGTGTATTTACAGATACCAGTGACGTCAGCTCTCATTATCATTATATGCTTTTATTGTTATTGGATAAATGCAGGCTTACAATGAGTTTACAAAAGTTGATGATTATTTGAGGAATTAATTATTCGAGATTTTTCGGGGTATTTTTCCCGGTGACATTGCTATTTCGAGGACTTCTGGGTGGATTTTGGGGAAAATGTCAGGGACAATGGTTTGTGGGGAATTTGAGTCTCCCATTTTCTCCTGAAGCCTCTCGTAAGAGGGGCAATTACGGTCTAATTAATGTCATTTTCGATTCCACAAATTCACATCCCAAAATGTGAAAATTTCATTATTCTGAGTTTGTGAATATCTCAAAAATTTATGAGTCTATCGAAATATGTGTTATAGCCTTTTTTGTACAGAATTAATTTCTCGACGAAAATGGTTTTATGTCATTTTTTCCTAGACCCACTCCTCCCTGACTTATTCTCGACTTTCTAATGAGCGTAATCTTCAATTACACAAATTCACATCTCAAAATGTGAAAATTTCATTCTTCTCGTTTCGTGAATATCTCAAACACTAATGAGTCTATCGAAAAATGTGTTAAAATCCATTTTGTAGAAAATTAACTTTTCCACGAAAATGGTTTTATGACATTTTTGTCTAGACTCACTCCTCCCTGAGTTATTCTTAATTACGTTCTAATGAACGTAATGTTCAATTCCAGAAATTCGTACCCAAAAATGAGGGAATTTCATTCTCTTCTTTTCGTGGATATTTAAAAAACTATTGGGTCTATCAAAAAATCTATTCAAAATTTTTTTGTACAGAATTAAATTCTCCACAAAAATGGTTTACTGACATTATTCGCTAAACCCATTCCACTCTGAGTTATTCTCAATGTGGATCTCAGCAGAGAGCCTAGAAATCCTCACGTCCCCAAAATCAAATGAACCAATTCCGGATTTTTTGATGATTCAGGTGTAGACTAATTTCGATCTCGAGTTGGTGCGCTTGAGGGTGGGGAGGAGGCAATAGTACCGGTAGATGCAGGCACAGCCAACTGAGAGAATTGTTAGTGCCATTAGTAAACAACCGCTGAAAAATAAAAAATTATAATTACTTTCTGCTCAAGTGAGTCTTCTTAAATCGGCTATATCTCCTGACCCAACGAAGCGATTTGGATAACTTAAAATTCATTTTAAACTCTCAAAAAATATTCTCAAAACTAAAGAAAAATATTTTAATTTCACTCTACCGATCTCAAGTTATCGGCGATTGAAAAAAGCTCATTTTAGCTTGTCTGTTTCGTCGTCATTTTTTATCTATTTTTCAACTGTTTTAATTTTGTTATGAAATTGTTCATAATATTCTTACATCAACAACCAAGTATTGAACTCTGTGCAGCACTCATTATTTCCACAGCAGTATTCCTTGCTGGAGCACAGGCCAAACTCGCAATATTGCGCAGAAGCCTAGAAAAAAAAGTAAAAAAACATGAAAATTAAAAAATTAAAAACCGAGAAATTAAAAAAACTTACCAAAGAAATTAGGGAATTAACGACGTAATAAATTATGACGAGAGCACCTGGTAACATTCTCTCGATGGATTTTTCTCAATGATTTACCACTGAAGACCCTCCCGTCTTATTTCACACGTTGTTGTACGAAATTTTGTGAATCTCGTGAAATTTCCGATGTTCAGAACGAGTTAGTCTGGAGTCTAGACGATTAAATGATGTTTGAGACGATTGTTGATGACTCGACGAAGAGATTTTGACATTCTAACACAGTGGAATGAGTCATAAAACTTGTGAACATGTGTGCGACATGTGTTATTCAACGAAAAATGCAACAATGTGATTAATTGACAGTTTCTGATTGTCTCGTTGCACCATGTGATGGCAGTAGTGTGCAATATGGCGTAGATTTGGCGGGAGGGAGCTAGGAATTCAAAATGAAGGCCACAACAATTGAAAATATTCCATAATCCCATGTATCTTAATTTTAAAAAGTCGCAATAATTCACAAGTATTTTAATTCAAAAAATTGATTTAAAAAATTAGATGTCATGAAAAGATCAAAATCAAAATGTCACAAAACCAAATGAAAAGGCACAAAATGAATTGAAGATCGTTCAGAATGATTAAAAAAATCAGGAAAAAAATCCATGCAAATTTAAAAATAAAAAGTCTCTTTTCAAATCCAAAAGCTTCACTTTAATCATCTTTATCTTGAAACAATCCAACATTCTCTTATTTTATAAAGTCAAATATTCATTCAGTCATTAATATTCTAATCCTTCATCTCCCAGAATCTCAACTCTTCTCGTCCTCCTCCATCATCTCCTGAATGAGCTTCTTCCGCTCCTCTGCCCTCCTCAAGTTCCCCAGGACAATGCTCTCAAAGTTCTGATCCGTCCCTCCCGCGAAGATATCAGGAGCTGACGAAAAGCTCGGAAAAGTCGTGGGAGTCCTCCCCTGCCCAAACCTTTCTCCAGAAGATGGAAAAACTCTCGAATTTGGCCCTTCTGTCTTGGTCAGCCCTTCTGTCTTGTTGGTCCTCCCCTCCCCCTCCCAGAGTCCTTCGAGCTTCAGAGGATTTCCCGCGAGGCCCCTCTCGACCATCACAGCCATCTCAGCAGCAGACCTCTCTGTGAACTCTACCAAAGCCCTTCCCTTCTTCCCAGACATAACCACCCCAGACACATCTCCATACTTCGACATGATGCTGTTCAGGACCTCCTGACTGTACCCCCCATTGTCGACATCATCCTTATCAGCCCTCCACCTGATCTTCACCTTTCCAGTCAGCCCCTCAGCATCTGGCCCTCCCGTCCCATAGGGCCCTCCTGTCCGATCCCTCCTCAACTGCTGTCGAATCTGATCGTTAAAGAACGGCCCTTCCTTCTCTTTTAACTTTCTCCCCCCCTCCCAGAGTCCCTCAAGCCCCAGAGGATTTCCCGCGAGGCCCCTCTCGACCATCACAGCCATCTCACCGGCAGACCTCTCTGTGAACTCCACCAAAGCCCTCCCCTTTTTTCCAGACATAACCACCCCAGACACATCTCCATATTTCGACATGATCCTTATCAGGACCTCCTGACTGTACCCCCCATTGTCGACATCATCCTTATCAGCCCTCCACCTGATCTTCACCTTTCCAGTCAGTCCCTCATCAGTCGGCCCTCCTGTCCGATCCTTCCTCAACTGTTGTCGTATTTGATCGTTAATCAAGTTCACCTCCTCCTCAACGAGTTTAGACCCCATCTTCTCCAATCTCTCTATCTCTTCCTTCAGCTTCTGCTCCTCAGACTTCCCTGATGATGTCCTCCCATTCTTGAAACGCTCCTCTCTGGCTTCAAGGTCGTCCTTGAACTTCTTCCTTTTGGCGTCTAGCTTTTTGGATCTCTCTTTGGCTTGCGCCTTGGCGAGGAGGACCTTGTCGTAGGCTTGTCTCGCTGACTCATCCGTGAGGATCTCTAGGACCTGTGACAGCTGGTGGAAGAGCTCCCCTGCTCTAGGATTGTCAGGGTTCTTGTCGGGATGGCAGGATAGGGCCTTCTTACGGTAGGCTGTCTTTATTTGAGAAGTCGTAGACGTCGGCTCGATGTCCAGGAGGCCGTACAGGTCCAGGTGCATCAGGTCCTCCATTTTTGGTGAGGGTCGGGAGGATTATGGGAGGTCTCGGGGGTCAAGGGGGTTTTCGAGGATTTTAGAGAGGATTTCCGCAAAAAAATTGAACAAAAAAATTCAAAATTCTTCGACTTCAAAAAACTTGATTTTTTTCGAAAAAAAATTTCATGAAAAATTTGATTTTCTTAGAATGTCGAAAAGCGGATTTTTTCCCGAATTAAACAAATTTGAATTTTTTTTAAAAAACAATTTCTATTCAAAATGTTTTGAAATTAATTTGTTTCTTTAATTTTTTCAAGTTTTCGCATAAAATGAAACAAAAAAAATTCTTTGCATTCAAAAATTTGATTTTCTCAGAATTTGGAGAATTGGATATTAGAAAAATTGTAACTTTTTTCAATTTGAAAAACTGAGAAAAAAAATATTTTCTGTGCAAAATTTTTTGAAAATTCCTTTTTTTCTTCAATTTTTTAAAAGAGTATTTTGGAGGGCGAACGGGGATTTTTGAGGATCATGAGGTGATCGTCGGGATCTAAGGTATCTACAGTTTGTTTAGGGTGATTCTAGTCAGAGGGGGTCAGGTCTAGGGGGTTGAGGGGTCTGGGGGTAATTTACACAGAGTTTTGAGTGATTTTTATGATAAATTCACTTAGAAAGGACTTTTTTAATTGTATTTTTAACGGCTTATTCCGAGTCTACGAAGGATTTTAATGAGTTTTTGATGGATTCACAGAAGATTCTTAGATTCAGGGATGATTTTTCGGACAAATCACGTGACAACGTCTGTTTTTTGGAAATTTTCGAGGCTAAATTTCACTTGGGGCAGTCCTTTCGAATGTTTTTGCCGAATGTTTAGAACAATCTTTGTAGTTCGCTTCACGATTTAATGTCAATGTGTTATTTATTATGTTGTAAGGATAAGGATTGATATTCACGATATTCTCACATGATAACTCCACTTGCACTCGGTTTTTCAGCTTTTGAAGTAATACGGTTACTCCAGACGTTTGTTTTCCGACACTGGGGAACGTAACCTAAAAATTATTCGTCACTCCGCGCATGCACATGGAGTTGGCGTCAGATTATGGCGCCAAATTCGTAAAAATGGAAGTGACCGATTTATTTCTGCGCGATTTATTTTTCAATTTCAATAATTGAATCATTAATTTTCGACTTTCATTATTCATCTGTCATCCGATTAATTAAATATACTAGTCTTTCTCATTTTCTGTCGTCTACTCAACGATTTTCTTCCAGAATTCAAGAGTTTCTCAACAAAATTTATCCTTCAATCGTTTTTTAAGGGGTAACAGAAGGCCACTGTTTCCTCGAAATTTTCAAACACATTTTCTGCTCAAAGTTGTTAATATTTTTTCAACCCAAAGCACATTGATCTTCATCATCGTTTCTTGGAGATTAATGTGCTTGGATTTGTAAAAATATCGATAACTTTCAGCAGGAAATTTGTTGAAAAATTTGGCAAATTAGTGACATTCTGTTACCCCTTGAAAATAACTCTTTCGAAAGTCGTTGACATCCGCGATAAAATATCACAAAAACTAGTTAATACTGCACCTCTTTCGTAAACAATAGCAAACAAGTGGGCAGTTGCTCTTGCATTGCCTATAATATAATTATTTTTGGTAATAAATTAATAATTTCCTTCCAAATGGTTATTTTCCACATGATTTCCTTCTATCATGCAGAATTAATTGTTTATTCCATTTTATTAAATTGAATAAGATTTCCTTTCAACTAATTTTGTCAGATTTTCAACACAGTTGAATGTTATCATCATCATTATTCTTATTATCCCTTTCTTCTACACAATCGATTGTTTTTTTTACTGTTCTATCTCTTCCCTCAGCCCTTCGATTAAATGGTAATAGACAAATTTTATTTATACATACTTGAATGAATTTAAAATATCACATTTGAAGATACCATCAGAAAGCTCACTTTCAGGGAAATTCATGAAAGATTTGAAATTTTCAACACTCATGATAAAAATCAAATATAGCTACCGTAATCATCTTTTAACTTCTACCTAATGGCATTAAAACAAACATTTTAAGCTATGATTGAATTCATTTGAAGCATGATATTCAAAGATATCCTCGGAATTCTGATTTTCAAAAAATGCAAAATTTTTGCAAATTTATCAGATAAATCAAAATAACGATTATTGCTATCGTTTTCATCTTCGAACTCGATCAAAAGGACATCCGAACTAATTTTTGAAGCCATCATTCAATCAATTCAGAACATTTTTTTTCGTTATCGTGGGACAACCGATTTTCGAAAAAAAATCAAAAGATAAAAAAAAATTAATTGATGAATGAAATTTTTAATAATGGCGATCGATAGGACTCAACAATATCTACATTTGAAAACAAAATCAATTCGATCCATTCATTAGCGAACGATTGATGAAAAACTTTCTTACATTCCATTTTCGGACTTTGTGGCTCATACGGGGTTCATATAACACAAAAAATCCGAAACTCACATTAAACGATTACAAAGCCTCCATTCCGAAGCAATAAAAAAGATGGGAGAAGATATTTGTCCCCCGACATTTCCTCCTGAACCCCTCGCCCACTCTTCGACCCCAATACCAATCACTCATCACCACCAATCAATCAGTCCCCAAGAATAACTCAACACCTCTGCATTTCAGAGACAAAACGCCCATCGAAAAATATTCCAAAACTCCCCCAAAACAATCGAAAAACTCCTAAAGAGTTCATCAAACCTCAGAAAAAAAACCTTCACATTTTTATTTCATTTTTTCTTTTTACTGTTCCATATTTCCATTTAATATTAAATCCCCAGTCAAATTTCCCAGAACTCGTTCTCCAAAATGGCGTCAGTCTCACAGCTGATGTGTCAGCTGTAACCCCCCCCCCCCCCCCCGCCNTCCCCCCCCCCTAAAATCGCGGAATACGTAACAGTGATAAAAATACAGTTGATCAATTGGAAATAGAAAAAAAAATCAGTTAAACCTGGCGAACCGAATATTGAATAACGTGATGAAGTCATTCAAAGAATCACTTGCAAATGCAAAAAATATATTGATATTGACGGGCAGTGGAATATCGGCTGAGTCTGGAATACCGACATTCAGGGGTGCTGGAGGATTTTGGAGGACATATTTGGCCCAGAGTTTAGCAACACCACATGCATTCAAGAGCAATCCGTCGATGGTGTGGGAGTTTTATGAATTTCGGAGGGATGGGGCTGCTAAGGCGCAACCTAATGCGGTGAGGATAGATAATTTATTCAGTTTTTTTATTCATTCACTTGAGAGTTTTCCGAATTTTTTGTCTCATGAAAAATACAATTCACGCGGGATTTGAACCCACAACCTTCCGATTACTGAGCTGATGCTTTTACCGATTGAGTTATCGCAAATTATCTCGGTAATCGTCAGTTCTAGAGGAAAATGTCAAAAGACTTTTTTCGTAGAGAATTCAATTTCCTACGAAAAGTGTCTTATGACATTTTCTCCTAAACATGATAATTCCGGAGATAAATGCAGAATCATCAGAACATCCAATCATTCTACATGAATGATCTGACCTCTTGTATTTCTACGATTTGATTACTCATTTTTTAGGCTCACGAGGCAATCGCAAATTTCGAGTTACGATTGACAAGAGAAGGTAAAAATGTGACAGTAGTGACCCAGAATATCGATGGTCTTCATCAAAGAGCCGGAACTAAAAACATCATTGAACTCCATGGATCATTGTACAAGACTCGTTGCACCAAGTGCGACGACATCGAGATCAATCACACCATACCGATCTGCCCCGCACTGGCGGGAAAATGGTAACGATGGTGGTGAAGCATCTGAATTAATCATTGGAAAGAAATTTTTCATCAGAAAAAAATTCATTGAAAATAGAGAAATCATGTTGTAACCGATATGACCTGAGAATCAGGAAAATTGCAGGCGGCTGTATCTTCGATGGTCATGGTCTTTCCTTCTTTCTCGAATTTTCTAGAAACTCTTTGAATTCTCTCGAATTTTCTGGAAACTCCTTGAATTCTCTCGAATTTTCTAGAAACTCCCAGAATTTCTTCAAAATTTCTAGAAACTCCTTGAGATTTTCCGAAATTTCAAGAAACTTCTCGAATTACCTCGAAATGTCTAGAATTCCGATAGATGGCGCTGCACATAAAGGCCGTTTCGCAAAATGACCCCCCATATTGAAACCATAGATGTATCCACGTCAAAAAATATCAATCTCCCCAATCACTCAAGACTCGGTAATGAATATCCAACGATACTATAAATCAATTACCTTGCAGTTCTCCAGATCCGGATGCTATGACTTCGGATATTCCAATCGAAGAACTTCCAAAGTGCAAGAAAAACTCTTGTGACGGTTTATTGCGACCACACATAACATGGTTTGGGGAGAGTTTAGAGTCTGATGTACTTGACAGAGCTGGTCAATATCATTTCCAAGAGCAATACAATCCCCGGGACCGAGGGGCCATTCATTTGGAAATGCGGCGACAGTGATTGTTGATTTCAGGAAGATTTTCACGATTTCATGCAATCATTGATTTCATGCGGTTGCCTGAGATTTTTTGGTGATTTCGCGATTTCAGACGATTTCAAGTGATTTCACGTTTTCGATTTCATCTATTTGGTGGAGGAGGGGGGAATGGGGAGAGAACCTGGAGGAAAAAAATGCATCATATTAATGCAAGAAGCCTCAAGCGTGAGAGTTACAAAGGGGGTGAATGTACAGATGAAAACATCGAAGTGAAGCCATAAAAGTCAATTTTTTTTTCATTCATTCGATAAAATACCTATTTACTCAATAAAATAGAGCACAACGTACATTTCATATATTCAACTAAACGAAATGAACTCTCCACTCTGATCAGTAATGAACGAATTTTGAAATTAGAAACATTTAATAACTTCTTTATATATCTTTTCATCTATTGCTCAACATTTCTTGGTCACCACAGGGTAGGAAATTGTCTGGCGATATTGACCAATGGCCACATAACCATGAATAGTCATTGGTTGAAGTTCGAGAATTTTTAAATAAAAATAATACGCGTAAATGGGCATACGTAGAAGAATACACCATAAATAAGTCGAAAGTTTCTCTTTCTTTTATATATTGGACAGGATTTCATGAGTGGCTCATTCCATGGTTCCATGAGATTTCACCGATTGCAAGTAATTCACTTGATTTCAACTGATTTCATACGATTTCAATCCTAAGTGACACGCTGATTTCACAAATGGATGGCCCCTCGCCCAGGACGTCATCAATAATTTCTTATGATTTTTTTTCAATTCCTCAGAACATGCGGTTGAGACTTGTGACGCTTGTCTCATCATCGGGACCTCATCTATGGTCTATCCAGCCGCAATGTTCGCACCTAGAGTTGCTGAACGTGGCATACCTGTTGCCGAATTCAATATCGAGGAAACTGACGCCACCAATAAATTTCAGTAATTGGAAATAATTAAGGAAATTGGGTTTCTGCACGAGATTTATGGTGTTGCGAGGAATTGAGAGGCCTCAGGAGTGAAAAAAAACTATTGAAATGCAGAGAAAACTTTGGGCCATGAATTCTGAGCCAAAAAGGGGTGAAGAAACCTGAAGGATAGCTTGAAAATTTTGTTCATTTTCTGGAAATTCGATGAAGCTAGTTGAAAACGATCTGAAAAGAATAAATAATTTTGAGATACGTTCAAAAATGTGAGGTGGCCGACAGGCGCAAGGACCTTTAAAGATGGCGGCGCCTCCACCTCGGATTTTTAAACATTTCTTGAGATTATTTATCATCTTCAGATCATCCTGAAATTACTTCATACAATTTCTATGAAGTGAACAAATTTTTTAAGCGTATTTTCATCTTTTTTCATCTCCTTTGGCTGAGAATTCAGGGCGCAAATCCCCCCCTCCATTTCAGTAGTTGTTTTTTTCTCCTGAGCCCTCTGCATAGCTTGAAATATGAAGATCGAGAAGACTCACTTACTATTGAGGGGCCACGAGGGTAACAAAAACCACTGAAATACCGGGGAAACTTCGCGCCATGAAGAATAGCTTGAAAAATTTGTTCATTTTCTGGGAACTTGTTGAAACTAGTTTAAAGTGATCTGAAAAGAAAAAATAATTTTGAGAAATATTCCAAAATATGAGGTGGTTGACAGGCGCAAGGACCTTTCAAGATGGCGGCGCCTTCATCTCACATTTTTAAACATTTTTTAAAATTATTTATCATCTTCAGATCATCCTGAACTTAGTTCATACGGTTTCTATAAAGTGAACAAATTTTGTAAGCCTTTTGTCAAAATTTTTCATCCCCTTTTGGCTGAAAATTCAAGGCGCAAAGTGTTCCCCCCATTTCAGTAGTTGTTTTTTACTCTAGAGGCCTCCTAACACATTGAAAAAATAGTCGCGGGCCATCTCATATGCAAAAACCCAATTGAAAAAAAATTTGAGGGTTAATTCTTTTATTTTATATTACAGATACCATTTTCAAGGCCCTTGTACGGTAACAGTACCTGAAGCGCTAGCCTGAATGCATAAAGAATCGAAAATCACGTAGTTTATCGTCAATTAATTCATCAATTAGTTAATTAATCACCAAATTGAATCATCATCAATAATATTTTATAACTAACTGTATCAGATAGCCAATTAAATTATTTTCTAAATTGAAAGAAGAAAAAATTGAAAAACTTTTTTCCATTTTTTATTCAACCACGTAGAATTTATTGCTCCACTCATAAACATGAACAAATGCAATATGACTGAACATTAATATCATTTTATACATTATTACATATTTATAATATATCATATCAATATTATACCGTTAAACTTTCGTTCATGCGTCCTTGGTGTAGATTCCACAAGTGAGGTCTCTGCTTATTTCAAGAATATCTCGTTAACGAGTGGCTTTATCGAAAAAGGTGATGAAAATTTTTTTATAGATAATTGCATTTCCCACAAAAAAGCTCTTGGGACATTTTCTGATAAATCTACTCGTACTCGAGATATTGGCGAAAATAACTAGCAAAAAAATTTTCCTCGAATCATTTCACTAATGATTCCATTTTAATTAAGTAATTAGCTTAGTTTTTAATTATCTCCCGTGCACAGTATCTTTTGATTGGAACGTAATCTATCACAGAGTGAGAAATGGTCGAGTAAACCACGAGAATTGCCACTCGCAATCTCTTAATAATTAAACGAAAATTTTGCTGACGAAATGAACTCTGAAAATTACCTAATTAATGAAATCGTGTTATCATCATCTTCAAGACCAAAAGAAAATACGGAAAAATATTCAAACGTGTTTTAAATATATGAAGCACTAGCTGTTTAATTGAGTTGTTCGTCAATTTTTTAATTTCGTCAGCGGGTCGCTCGACACGGCACATATCATAGTTCCCTCGTATATTATTTTTAATAAATAATATTTTACATCAAAGGCTCAAAATCAACGAATTAATCCTGAATTTTTCAAAAGAGAAATTCGAGGCATCGTCTTTCCCTCACATACGCCCTTGTTGCTCTCAAGCCTTTGATAATTATTCAATACACTGTAGTAATATTAATATAATAAATCCACCAAACAATATTTACACCAGTGAGAACCCTTCAAACTCCATTCTCTCTCCAAAAATGAAAGAAAACTTTAATTTTTCGTCTATAAAAAATTATATAAAAAACAAAAAATGAAAAAAATCATTTATGAAGAATATTGTCATCACAGATGTCCATAAAAGCATTTAAAATCCCATAAAAGAATAATCAATGATTAAAAAAAAATTCAAGAGCAGAATTTATCGAAAATTTATCGACTAATTGTTTAAACAATTGGAAGAAAATTCATTAATGATTGCTTTGTGCACCTGCAACTCTGCAGCATCAATCAATAATTTTATCAATAGTTTTATTTCCACAACTTTCTTTAGTTTGTCATTTTTTATATTAAGCCGGTAATTACACATTCGCCCCTCTGATACTAATGGTCACTCTAATCACAACATTGTTGATAATGTTACCTATTGAGTTATTCGGGCGAAATTTTGCTATTCCTGATTAAAAGCTCAAGATTTTTTGTACATTAATCAAAACGATAGAAAAACTTAAAATTTCTATTTAAACAATTATTGCACAATTAATAATTAGGGTAGTTAATTGATCAGAAGCTTGGACTCCAATTCACTCATGATTACTTGATCCTAGAATTATCGATAATCAAAGAAATAATTCTTCCAGTCTACATAATTGATTAATTAATTAATTAATTGAAATGATTGAAAATCGCGTCTAAAACTGATTAAATCTCCAAAAAAACTAATTTAAAATTTGCTTTCGCCCTTAAAATTACGTATTTTTGTATAAAAAAAAAATTTAATAATTCACCAACAAAAACAAAAAAAAGAAAAATTAAACAAAAATTCAAAATTAATAATTAGAGTAATTAATTTGTCAGAAGCTTCATCTTCAATTCACCCATGACTACTTGACCCTGTAATTATAGATAATCGAAGAAATAATTCTTCCAGTCTACATAATTGATTAACTAATTGAAGAGATTAAAAATCGCGTCTAAAAATGATTAAATCTAGACAAAAACTAATTTAAATTTGCGTTCACCCTTGAAATTCCGTATTTTTGCAGAAAAAAAAAATTGAATAACTCACCAACAAAAACAGTGAAATAAATAAATTATCCAAAATTTGTTTCAAACCGGAAGTCAAAATTACCCTTTCAAGGTCATCTCAGGCCTAGCCGTAGTCCCAATGAGAAGAGAATCAACACTTGTGCCTTCAGAATTCTCGGTAATCCCAGTGGAACTTGAAATGACTCGCGCAGTTGTCGTGATCAGCTGTTTAACAGCGGTCGTGACTTCCGGCGCAGAAGTGGTCGTAGAAATTGTTGAATTTCTCAGACAATAACCCATGACCTGTCCGTGTTTGCACGACTCATCCCTATCGTCATTGAAGATGATGAGTAAGAGCCCGGAGACAGCGACAAAAATGCCGGCGACGAAGAGCCCCAGGGCCGGAAGTTTCTGAGGTGAGAGAAGTCCGCCATTTTCCAATTTGAGATAGCACAGGGCTGGGAGGATGTAGGCTAGGGGCACTGCCGCCAATATTCCATTCAATTCGAGGACAACCCCGAGACAATCGGTCGTCATCGAGATGAAGTAAGCGACTGTTATTATTCCCATTGTGATGATCAAGTATCGGCGATCGGAACCGGCGATGTACATGTCGTGATTTTCAGTCTCGTCGGTTCCTTTTATTGCTGTGAGGATTACCTGAAAGAATCATCACTTTTTTTATTTTATTTTTTTTTCATTATTGAGAAAGTACTTTGGAAATGATGGCGTACTTCGTCCATTTTTCTTCGATGCAAAAGTTATTGAAGTACATCATTTAGATTAAAAAAAAACTACTGAAATGCGGAAAAAATTTTCCACGTGACTTGAAACATTTTTTCATTCTATAGAAACCGGATGCAGTGAGTTGAGGATAATCTGTAGAGGTCTAATAACTTTAATAAATTGTGAAAAATACGAGGTGGAGGTGCCGCCATCTTCAAAGTCCCGTGCGACAGAGGGAGGGGGTATCCAAGCAAGATGGCGGCGCCCGCCGCTGTCAACCACCTCGTATTTTTTAACGCTTTTGAAGATTCTTGATCCTCTTCAAATTACCTCCAACTCATTCCATCTAGTGCCTAGAAAATGAACAAATTTTTCAAACTCTCTTTTAGATTTTTAAATCCCTTTTCAGCTGAGAATTCATGATGCAAACTTTTTTACCTATTTTGTTTTTTTTTACACTTGAGGCCTCTTAATCATTGGAATTAACCATTTTTTCAAATTAATTTATGACGAAATAAAGTGAGGTTAATAAGCAAAAAAATATTGAAAAACAAAAAAAAATCTGAAAGATGGTTTAAAAAATTTGTTCCTTTCATAGAAACCGTATGCATTGAGTTGAAGGTAATTTGTAGAGGTCTAATAACTTTAATAAATTGTGAAAAATACGAGGTGGAGGTGCCGCCATCTTCAAAGTCCCGTGCGACAGAGGGAGGGGGTATCCAAGCAAGATGGCGGCGCCCGCCGCTGTCAACCACCTCGTATTTTTGAACATTTCTCAAAATTATTCATCCTCTTCAAATCACCTCCAACCCATTCCATCCAATTCCTACAAAATGAATAAATTTTTCAAACTCCCCTTCAAATATTTCCACCCCCTCATTTTTTTTTCCAATTACCTCCCGTGTGACGAAACACTCAATGGGAAACGTCAGCAAGATGGTCCCACTGAACATAACCCTCGAGAAGTTCATGAGATCATCGTCCCAGCAGTAGTTCTCCATGAGATCGCCCTGAACGTGTGACGTAAATGTGGCATAACCCGCGATTCCAAAAGCACTGGCCACAATGAAAGACGTGAATAGAGACCAGTGGGTCACTACGTCCCACTTCTGTTGGGTCGCACGCTCGATGGACCCATAAATGAGGAATGTGTTGTGATGGCACATAAACGCGAATGCCATTATGCCTATTGAGGGGATAACGCCTCTTATCGACGCGAATCTCCAGCTGTCGGTGGATTCTGGCCTGGGGACAATTATTTCCATATTTTAGGGGCATGAGAAAATTCTGAAAAAATTCACCAAGTCTCTCGGTGGTCTCTCAGATCTGCCTGATTTTTTACCGAAATTTTAATGCATTTTTTGGGATTGAAAACAATTGCCTTGTCAACTCACACAATGGCCGCCATTGTGCTCATCCTGATGAAAATGGCGAGCAGAATGAAGCCGACGCACACGAGCGAGAGGAACGATATTTTAGCTAGTCTCGCTACGTTTCTGTATAAACACAGTGGCACTGTTATCCACATTGTTGCTAGCAGAATGACAACTTCACGTTTACCGAATATATTGTCCTCTCTCAGGCCAAATACTCGGATTATAACTTTTGTTACTGTATCACCCACAACAACGTTGTACGATACCATGGCTGCAATAATGAACACAAATTAATAGTAGTTTCCGGGAAAAACAATACGTGAAATAGTATATTTTGTCATTCCGGCCGTAGGGCAGCGTTTCTGCCTAACGAATCTCTGCTTACGGCCGTCATGACAAAAAATATTGTTCGTCATATGGCCAAAAAAAACTTTTCTGACAAATATGATTGCAGCCCTCGCCTTCGGCTCGGGCTGCAAACTCATATTCGCCGGAAAAGTTTCTTTCGGCCTAGTGACGAAATATACTATTTCTGGCGAATATGAGGTTTGCAGCACGAGCCGAAGGCGAGCGGAGCGTCCGTGAATCGCTGCCTTACGGCCGGAATGACAAAATAGTATATTTCGTCACTAGGCCGAAAATAGTATATTTCTGGCGAATATGAGTTCGCCTCGCCTTCGGTTCGGGCTGCAATCATATGAGCTAGAAAAGTTTTTTTTGGCCGTATGACGAACAGTATTTTTTGTTATGACGGCCGTAGGCAGAGATTCACGGACGCGGAGCGGAGCGGAGCGTCCGTGAATCTCTGCCTCACGGCCGGAATGATAAAAACAATATTTCATACTTTTTTTGGTTTTTGGATAAAAGAAAAATCGATTTTTGGGAGATTCTTGGGAAATTTATCATGTGAAGTTGGGACTTATCAATAAATGACAAAATTGGAATTTTCAATTTGATCAATTTTTTTTGACTTTCGGGAAATTCTTGAGAAATTTTTAATGGGACATTGGGACTTACCGGTGAATGAAATAATTGAAATTTTTAATTTGAAAAAAAAATAATGTTTGGGAACTTCGGGGGAAGTTCCAAATGTGAAGTTGGAACTTACCAATAAATAAAAAGAATGGAATTTTCAATTTTATGATTTTTTTTTCATTTTCCGGAAACTTGAAAAATTTTCAATTTGACATTGGGCCTTACCAAGAAATGAATAAATTGGAATTTTCAATTCGAAAAAACTAAATTTTTAGGAAATTTACGGAAAATTTGTAATGTGACGTTCCTGAGTCGAATAATTGGACCTGACAAGTTCTACTTAGGTCTTTCCATTCAGAACTGGATAGGTCTTGGGAAGCCTCTTCCCAAGTGCTTCCGAGACCTTTCTACCTCTGGTTATGCCCCATTTCAGCACTTGTTAGGTGTAAGCAGGACTTGTATTCAGATTTTCCAAATCCTTGCCGGTCCCCGTAATTCTATGGGCCTATATTAAATCTTCGTTCATATCCCTGTTCACTCATGCGCTATTGAAATAAAAAATGCAATTATTGTTTTTTTTTTTAATCTCGAAAATCGACATTTCACGGGAGGGTGGAGGGGAGATGCATGTATGTGGAGGCTTGACATTTTTACCCAACAAGGGGAGAAACTTGCAAAATCTATTCTAGCCACTCTTGTCCCTCCGCTTGCATGCATTATCCAAATAAAAAATGAAAGTGTTAACAAATGTGATCCTTGTTCCAAGTAAAAACCGAAAATCCGACCCTGTGGCCCCCGGTGAAAAATTTTTTTTTTCAGTTTTCACTTTTCCCACATACTTTTGAAAGTTCTGAATAGCCCGTCGCTTAAATAGTTGGAATCAACGTTCACCCGGCTAAAAAATTCGATTTTGGCGAAAGTCGACTTTCCCCCTGGAAAAATCCAAGATCTGACACTTTGGCCCCCGGTGAAAAATTTTTTTTTTCAGTTTTCACTTTTTCCACATACTTTTGATAGTTCTGAATAGCCCGTCGCTTAAATAGTCAGGATCAACGTTCACTCGGCTAAAAAATTCAATTTTGGCGATAGTCGACTTTCCCCCTGGAAAAATCGAGGATCTGACACTTTGGCCCTCGTGACCCTTTGACCGACTTTCCCCCTGAAAAAATCCAAGATCTGAGCCTTTGGCTCCGGGTGAAATTTTTTTTTTTTTTTCAGTTTTCACTTTTTCCACATACTTTTGAGAGTTCTGAATAGCCCGTCGCTTAAATAGTCAGGATCAACGTTCACTCGGCTAAAAAATTCAATTTTGGCGAAAGTCGACTTTCCCCCTGGAAAAATCGAGGATCTGACACTTTGGCCCTCGTGACCCTTGTGACCCTTTGATCGACTTTCCCCCTGAAAAAATCCAAGATCTGAGCCCTTTGGGTCCGGGTGAAAAAATTTTTTTTTCATTTTTAACTTTTTCCACATACTTTCGAGAGTTCTGAATAGCCCGTCGCTTAAATAGTTGGAATCAACGTTCACCCGGCTAA